TGTTTCCAAAGGTATCACACAGCGCAAATTTTGCTTCATTCATTATCACAACACGTTAACCATAGTCAGGACAGAGCTCTTCTTATCAAATGTAAGCTAATCATAAGCAATATCCATGAAATTGGAATAAAACTTTCGTATAAACGTTAACTCATTGTCATTCTAATAAATAACCAATTTCCAGATAAAGATGCCGTTGAAAAACGGTTGTATGTTTTACAACAGCAAGGCTACATCTATGCGACAGACCCAACGTAGCGTATGTGACTAATTTCAACGATAGAGTGCAATTTCCTGGCCAAGTTCAACTCATATTCGATTTCCGCCGTTTTTTATGGGATTAGCGAAAGAACCGAGATGATCAAGCCAAAAAGTGCAAAAATGAGAAAGCATAATGACAATTCTGTTTAGTTTTCTTTATATGATTTATTAACTGAAGATACGATTGGTAAATTTAGATTACATACAATGCGCGTGCGCTCGTACAGATTCACGTGTGCATTCATACATACATACATGCATGCGTGCATACGGGTAAAATACAAATGTTAATTTAATCTTGATTTCGTATCTATTAATAAATATAAATATATTGAAAGAAACGAAAATAAATGAAGCTGTTATTAATTTAGTGCAAAAAAGAATCCTTTTATTATATAAGAACATTATACAAAAGTATGTGCGCTACGTCTATGCGTATGATAATTATGCTACAGCACAGTTCAATACACGTAAAAATAAATAACTTTGTGTGTATTTCAACTCAATGAACAATATTTCCTCTATTATTTCTCTTTCCGCTCTTTAGTTGGTCTCGATTCATTTGCTTTATTATCTCTATAAAGAACATAGTTGAGGACAGTGACAAGAGTGTTCCAAGCTAAATACGGAGCAATCAGTAATCCAGCTGTAGTGTTTATTCTATAGAATGTTACACCCAATATTGCAGTCGAGCCCCAAAGAGCTATCATGTCATACAAGGCCTAGAACAATATTTAGGCATATATTGTTCACACACATGCATATATATATATATATATATATATATATATATATATAATGTGATTTATATTATTAATAAAAATAATACATTATTTGTGAAATAACTTATGGTAATGATTACATTTTTAACACATTCACTAAGATTTTAAATAATTTTTCAATTAAATTATTGATATTAAAAAATTTACTACCAATTACTCCATAGAAATAGAAATTGTGATGTAAATTCAATTTAAATTATTAAAAGTTTTTAATATAAATACCCATTTTATTTTATGCGCTCCAAAAAATATTGGTACCCAAGCCCAATTAAGAGCTAAGTTAGTTCCATAAATCGATAATGGTAAAGTAGCGTTTCTCCAACTACCACAATCTTGCAAAACTAAATAGGAAGCATAACCCATTGAGGAATATATGGCAGTCCACAACGGCCCATAAACCCAATTCGGTGGTGTCCATTTCGGTTTTTTCAATGACTATAATGTCAAAATTGTGCAATTTTGCATTATGACAAAATACGATATTATTATTATAACGGACAACACTTTTTCTTCATTTATTTGAAAAAGAGCCAAAATACGATGTGATTATATAACGAACGACACTTGTTCTTCATTTATTTGAAAAAGAACTAAAATACCGTATTAAATTAGTAATCATTAGCAAATGCATTATTTTTTCATCTTATTAATTGTTAAATATAAACTTTTTCTTATCATTTTCATATAAAATAAATTTTAATTGATTTTAAATAAAATTCATTTTATAATGTATCATCATATTTTTCGATGAAGGAATCAACGTTTGCAATTATTAACGTCATTCTATTGAATCCAATGTATCATATGTAAACAAACTAATTTGCATGCATACGTACATACACCCGAGCGCGTATTTTGTGATTTCTTTACCGACAAAACTAGTCTTCACACTTCATGAATAACAAAATATTATGTAAAAGAACAAGAAGTACGATAAACAATATAATACACCTACCTGCAAGTTCTAGAATCCGTACGAATAATAGAATCGACAAATATATATATATTTGAATAATAACTGTGGATTATGATAAATAAAATTAAGCAGATCAATTATAACTTACCTCATACCACGGTTTCAAATTTCTCTTAGTAATAATACTACCGAGCCAACCACCCACATTAGGATGAACAATGGCAACAACCAATGGCCACGATATTCTTACCGGCATTTTATTGCTTATTATTTACTTTATTTGAATGATTGAAAGATATCTCAACTTCGATGGTAAGTTTTAAAAACAAACAGTGCAGTTTCTAATGGGTTGTTTGAGCGCCGTTCGAGCTCCACTTTTTCCATAGGCACTGCTCATACGATACTATAGCAAACTTACAATGACTAACATTTCTGGAGATTACATCTATATTTCGTATATTTATTTATATTCAACCAGTATGAGCTTTATCATTATAGCAGAAAAGTTATAATCTGGTGTGCAATTTTTCTTATTAACATTAAATTTTTTTAATTATTTTTGCGATATGTACTTTAATATAGTGCAATTAATCGATTTTTTTTTTTATTCTATAAAAAATTAAAGCAGACTTTAGTTTGATGGAAAATTATTTATAATACTAAATGCTTATTGTATTTTAAAATATTATGACAATTGACATCTTAAATTCTGCCATTAACGTATAATGAAAAACTTGTAAATCCTATATTGCCATATTAACGTGTAAAAAAACATTTTATCATATTTATCTTGATTCATAGTTAATAATGACATAGTAAAGAATTAAAGTCGAAACTCTAACATCTTTCATTCATTTATATTAGCAAAGTTATTTATATATAAATTAACTAACCGATCTACTTATAATTTTTTTTTCTCTTAACTTATTCGAATTATAAAATTTTCAAATGATCATTTCTAAATTACAAATACAATTAAAAAAAAAAACAAAAAAAGTTAATAATTTATATAGAAATAACTTTTTATATTTTAAACGAAAATATTCTATAGAAAATATCAAAATATAATTTTACCAAATAAATTTAATTGTCAGTAACAAAGTGATAAAATAAGAAAGGCAGTAGTGAATATGTATGAACTTATGTTGCTGATGTAAAGTTGATAGGGAACTAAGTATACAAAATAATTTCAGTGATAATAGAAAATGAATTTCGTCGAACAGTATTACGAAATCTTTTAATTTTATACTTTTATTTTTTTTTATTAAAAATCATCGTCATTAAATACATAGGCATAGACTTACATTAATATATAAGAAATTAAATTTTTTTTTTTTTTTTTTTTTTTTTTTATAAAATTAAAATAATTCGTTCCAACTCGATGTTGAGCATATAATTTACAAATTAGAAGAAAAAAACTGTAGTGCATTAATATAAACTTAACTTTTTATAATTTGTTCAAAAATATACACCAAATAAATTAATACCTTATAGTTTGAACTCTTTATTACTTCGACATTATATATTATAAAAACTACTTTGAAATTTTTATTTTCTTCATAAAGGCAAAACTTTTTTTATCTCGCGGTTATTGATTACAAAGAAATAAAAAAAAAATTGCTTTCAGTCACGAAATATATCAATAATTATTTAAGATTATTATAATTATCAATAAGCGGCATAAATACTAAAGATTGAAAAACGTTAAGTCTTTTCAAAATATTTTAAACTAATGAAATTCATTCAACATTATTTAAAATTAAATAAAATAAAAAAAAAAAAATATATATATATATATATATATATATATATATAATATAATAATTAATAAGTTAATTCTAAACTTTGTTTAAAAAATCAGAAAAATTAATTCTCGAAACGAAGCGTTTCTTTTTTAATTATTATTTAAAAAAATAAATTCATCGTTGTGCCATGTTTTTCTTTGCAAACACATATATAACGGCTCACATATCACGAATGTTGTAAACTTCATTTTCGCCAGAAAGTATGAACTTTCTCACTAAAATGAATGCATGACAATAATTCTACAAGAATCTTGTGCATGACGATATATATGTAAATGTAGAGCTAGTTTGGACTAGATGGGCGTTTAGTAAACATTTTTGTTTTTGTTCATCTTTAAACAATATTGGCCAACATTACAATGAGCTTCGATAGGCTGGATATCCCTGTCTCATTACAAATTATTTTTTCTGAGGCATATGGAAGTCCATTTTGTCATGTGGCTTATTGACAATTCAATCTTTGCAACTCACTCATCGTCCAGTGTATGTTATTTTAAACATATTGAATTATTACTTAAAAAATTCTTTTAAAATAGCAACTATTGCTAACAACTATTTTAATCGTAAATTTTTGTTTCCCTTCTTTTTTTAACTTTTTAATTACAGGTCATTGAATTATGTGCATAATACTTAATTTCAAATTGAAATTTAAAAACTTACTACTTAATTGGATCTATGTTGAATTATAAAATAAATCGTTTTAATTATCAATTTTCTCGAAATTGAAATAAATTGAAATATAGACATTTAGTACGAATACTAAATAGTTTTTTTTTTGTTTGTTTTTTGTTTTCCTTTCTGTTTTGTTTTGTTTTTTTTTTTGCTTTTAATTTTTTTTCTCACAGAATTCGAAAAATATTTTGAAACAATATCTTTTTATTAAGTAATTTGCAAAAAGTAGAAATGTCACTAAAAGTTAATTCTGTCCTTTATGTTAAATTAAGATTTTAATCACATTTTTTTGTATTTATATTGTTTTCTTTAAGCTTCTCGTCAGCCTTTTCTTCCTTCTTAGCTGCACTTTTTGAACTAAATCCAGAACTGAAATGATCCATAACTCTAGACCGAAGTTTCTGTGGGATTACCATTATCGTCGTTGTCATATTGCCTAAGAACAATACTAAGAACATAGCGCTCAAGACTGGTACATGCCAAGTAGCTTCTGAATGCCAGGTAAGTTTAAGAAGTACGTAAGCGTTATACAGTTGAAAGAAATATCCAATAAAGAGAAAAGGTAAGAGAAACGATAGTCCCCGCCACATCCACGAGTGGAAACCCTCAATTGTTATATCCATGTTGTGTCTCTCCCCAAGCGCTTTAAGACGATATAATACACCTCGTTGATAGCGGAATTGTAAATATTGTACAAAACCTGAATACAATTACAAAATTACAAATTTTTTATTTTACTTTCATTTTAAAACTAATCATATTATACAAGTAACATTAGTATTTAAAATTATTTATGAGAGAAGACAATTTTTTTATGTATAGAGTGAAAAAATATATTTGCTTGATTTTATAAATATAATGTAGCCATCTGTGTGTACGTGTAGACAAATTAAGATTTTTGTAAAATAGTTTTATAATATATTCACAAATTTATATGGAATTTCATTGTAGAAATTTTCTATTATTATTTATTATCATCAACTAAAACGTTGAGATCTTTATATGTATGTGCCACGTGTAAAGATTAAAAACTAATATTTAAGCCCAATAAAATTAATCTAATGATTAAGTTGAAGATATAATTTTATAACTTTATATTACTCGAATAACTTTAGATGTACTTAGAAATTTTTTAATTATTAATTTGCTTTTAACGATTACTAAACTTTTATTAATTATTAAATAACAAATATAGATAAACAATAGATAATTTAAATTCTTTAATAAGTTAAATTATAATGTTTAACATTATGTTGAAAGGCATGATACAAAATTCAATACAATATGATTTACTTACTTATATAGACATTGAACCACATAAATTGTCCACGGAATGCATACCAAGGTCCAGTGTTTGGCCATACTAAGAGTACACCAGCAACAACAGTAGATTGAAAATGATGAAAACGCCACCATCCTTTAATTCTTGACCCATTAACTTTTAATATGCTTTCTCGTATCGTTAAAGTACAATAATACCAGACTAGTAAAAACATGAAGCTTAACTCCAATGTTCTACAACATTTCAATTTACAAGATTTAATAATAATGTATCGGAGTAAACTAAAAAAAAAATATATATAACATGCAATACTTACCTAATATTTGTAAATAAATTAATTACAGAGAGGAAAAATCCAATCACAGATAAAACAAGTTTAAATTTTTCATATTCATCTTTGTACTTAAATCTAAAATACAGTAAATAATTTTTTATTTTTCAGTTATCAAATAATGTATACACAGATATAAAAGTGAGACAAATTATACTTACTTATCATTTTTATTTAATATCGAGACATTAACACTACCTAATATAATAGAAAGATAAGTGCCATTAGGTTTTGGCAAAGTTTGCTCAATTTCATGTATCTGCTGTTCTCTTCTTATCATATCTTTATCTAAAGTTTGTCGTGTGTTGCTTGCATGCAATCTATAATAAAACAAAATATCGATTAGTTGAAACGATATCTATTAAAAGAATATGGAATGTAAAAATAATAATAATTATTATATATGTATATATATATATATATATATATATATATATATATATCTAACTTACTGTTTTAAAGATTTTCTTATGATACCCATGCGATACTTCTGATGGGATATACCAGTCATACATTTTTTTTGTAATTCTCCTATTTCTTCCAATTTTGCCAAATATGATCTATTCAATAACTATAAAAAATTCAAATAAATGATGAAAAGCACAAATGGAAACGGAATATTGAATAAACATTAAAAGGAATACAAGTGTAATAAAAGTGTGAAATGATAAATACATTTTATTTTAATGGTTGTCAAAATTAATGAAATATATTAGAAACAAATAAGTTTCAATGATAAGGTTGAGCGTAAGCTCAAACCGAGCCTTCTGGAAAGTTTATCATTGAACAATACTCGAACTACTTTGATAAAGTATTATGTGTATTATTGAATCGTTGAAACATAAAAAAGAAAATATTTTTTATAAATTTTAATATTTCAATATCTTGCAGTGAAATACTCTTCACATAACCTATAAATCAGCAACATTTCCCGCCAATAATCGAGAAAATTAACTATTGGGACAATGCAACTAAATCTCCTCGTATCTTACCTCCAACTCCTTGTAATCGTTCTGCAGGTCGGTCCAATCCTTGATGCAAGACTCGACGTCGGTATCCATGTTCCTCTATTCAGATGATATCGGCTGCCGTCTTCCCTCGCGTTATCGTATTTGAAAACAACTACTATCAGGCACAATGCACAAAGTACAAGACACATCAATCGATCGCTAAAATTGCATGGGGAGGTCGAAAAGCACAGCCGTGTGGTGCGTGAATGGAACGGAAATATGCGCAACGAAACCCTCGCACTTTTCCAGGTCCCCTTCCCTTTTTCATTGGCTCCGTTCCGCCGCCACACACGCAGTCAAACTATGTATATTTGACAAATGCTTGTGCAAGTTGTGCGTGGCATGCGCGCACTTGTATGCGCATGAGCTCGCGCGCGTGTTTTTCACGGTAGTGTGCGTGTGTCGCGCATGGACAGGACGTGACTATATTGAAATCGAAATGTCAAATTAAGAATCTGAAAACATTGTATAAATGAAGAAACCCTGTCCGCCGACATGTGCCAGGTTACTAAACCAAAATAGAAAGTATCTATGAAATATAAATTTGATGATCGTATCAATCATACGCTTATGTATTTATTGAATGTAAAGAAGCTTTACTCGTTTTAATATCATCTGCGTCTTTATATCGGCACAATTAAAATACTTTTGTATTATTTGTTCTTTATATTATTTTATGCATTATTATTGACGTATATTAAATGTTCAAGTATAAATTATTATGTTAATTAAAATATATATTTTTTTTTTTTTTTTTTTTTTTTTTTTATTAATGTTACATAAAATATATTTAGAATATTTTGTAATATCTTTTCCTCGTACTTCTGAAGTATAGAATTTATGATCATATAATTATGTAATTCTCTGCATTATCTTGTCACTGTTCATTCTACTTGTCTCCTTTTCTTTTTTTCTTTAGGTACTTTGCTTTCAATGACTTTCAATTATTATTATTTTTTTTTTCGTTTTAAAATCGAATGATTAATATAGAAAGAAATTTGTGCAAACAAAAATAATAATACATATCTGAAAAGGTAATTTTGTCAACAAATTTTTATCTTTTACCTTTTAACATTAATCTGACATTTTCAATTCAATCATATCACATCAAACTCTACAATGGTTTGGAATTGAAATGTTCAAGATGTGATATTTATCGCCTACAATTACCATATAAATTTAATTTTTTTTTCATCTTATTTACTTTAGGTACATGTACCTCTTGACCTTCAACGACTGTTCTTTATTTATTATCGTCTCTACTCTAAATTGAAATCATTTTCATAATCTGACGCTTAATTCAAGTCATCTCAAGAAACCTGTTTCTCATTTCTCATATCATTCAAACATTCGACTCGTAATATAAAAAAGCCGTAATGTAAAAATCAAATAAATGTAAAATTGAAAAGATTTCGTTACTCTTGATTATTCTAAAAGCTATTTTGTGTGACTGTGGGAAACTACTGTTTTTCATAAAGTGACCGTCGATCAACGAGTCTATCAACGATGAATTAACAATTTCCTTCGTCTTCCGTAATAATATCCTATGTTTAAAAATTACAATTATTTGAGCAAAAATTGTCTTTATCTGTTATAAATTCTAAATCTCATACGTTTCTGGTAATTCGTTCGCTCAATATTACCAATACAAATTATTATTAGGCGAGCTTAGAAGAAAATTTCAACATTTGAAATTGTTGTTTTAAAGTTTCATTTGTGTCATCAATTGCAATTGTTATTAATATTTTATTGTTAATTATTTAATTGAATATGAGCTATTGGTCATTGTTTTATGAATAAATGTACGAATTAGTTATACTTGTGAAGCACGTTAAATATTGAAATTATATAACGAGCAAATGTTTTAAATTTTGTTTTTTGCTTTTTTTGTTTGTTTTTTTTTTTTTTTTTTTTTTTGGAAAATGTATATTGTAAAGTTAAAATATCTAACATTGATTTTCAAATGGCATTATATACAAATATCTTTGCACGTATTTATAGTTTAAAAAGTATTGTGTAAACACTGGAAAAACAATCGTCGACCGGACGACCGAACTAATAACGGAAGTCAACGTTTTGCTCTTTTACTTTACAGGAGAAAATAGCAATGCTAAGAACAGCAATATTGTTGAGATGCTAAAAAAGTCTTTTCCCTCTGTAATACTCGATAAACTATCGAGTTTCCATTTAAACATTACGCAATAGTCTTTTATAAACCAATGAACAATAATAAATAACAATTGCAAAATGTCTTTTTTACTCTAAAGCATTATTTTTATATTTTATTTATAAAAATAGTCATTTTAATGATCGTAAGTATATATATATGCATTTGTAAAGTTAATAATAATAGCCAAACATTGCAAAAATATATTTACTTCAATTTAACCTATTAAGACTACATTCCCATAAATTACTTCCTATGTTTACTTTAACATTTGACATATCCTGTTTATATAAACCATATAGTTAAAAAAAAAATAAAAAAAATAAAAAAAAAAAAAAAAAAAAAAAAAAAAACAAGTCAAACAAAGCATAATTCGAAGTAATACATCTTAAAGTCGTTAATGCTCATTGTTAATCGCGTAATTTCGAAATTCCAAATTGAACATGCATTATAATATCATATATATAAGAACGCGTAATTTCTATACTTTACACGTAATGTCATTTTCATAATGAAGACTATAATTATTTTTCAAACTATCATTTCCAATTATCCCAATTAGTTTGAAATGTTTATAACAAGCAATGCCTTGATCGTCAGCCCTTGTCTATTTTCAATTGATAAAACATCTATTGTCAGCACCTCAGGCTCTTCACCTACCAACGAAGCTTCCTTCCTCTCAGGTCATAAAAATTGCCATTCCCGTTAATTTCATTCTACTCCGTCTGTGAATATAAATTGGGCTTAAAAGCACTGTGGGGCTTTTCACATACCTGTTACGCTCTATAGTCACTTACGCATTCGCGATTTATATTCATCTTGCCGATTGCTCCATCCTTATTTCCCCTTATTTCCTAACGTTCCTCTCGTACGCAATCATAACCGAGGAATAATCTATAAAGTAATATGTGATTGAAAAAGGAAGGGAGATCGATGCGAGGATTATATACACTGGTGAGCACCAAGTATGCACATGTTGTGCATAAGCCTTTGCATACTCCTGGATAAACTTCTACGCGAGACTCCAAGACTCGATGATTTGCCTCTTACTCCACTCGAACGATTGTCAAAATCTATTTTTAATAATTAAACTTTATTTATGCATAATTATCAGAGATCATTCGTTAAATTTTCACAATCTCTATGATATTTATATTTAGCTTGCTCTGTAAAGTATTGATTTGATTTTATAATAACCCTGAACATGTAATATTCAATGGAATTAAAAATAAATTCAGCACTTTCTATACGACTATTTTAAGCTTTACTGTTTTATGTGTGGAAACACTGCCAAATAGAATTGTATTTAATAAGGATTTGTAACGAACTTTATATTTATGATACAACTAATGTGGTTTGGTGGCTTACTTCAAAATGTACGGCTTGAAGTATAGTTGGAAAAAAAAAGGAGAGAAAAAAAATTTTAAAGTTTAAATGCTTAACCCTTAGAGTTATAGATGATGCTCTTAAGATTATATTTCAAGTATATTAAAACTACCCAATTATTTTCTTCTGTAATTTAAAACCAAAAAAACAAATCAAGAAATTAAATTTTTAAAAAGCTTTTTAAACGAAAATAAATTGAGTCACTCATATTATTTAAAAAAGATTTTGGATAGATTATAATTTTCTATACATTTTGATAAATTGGCTGCTTTCAATTTTTCAATAAAAATGTTTAATATTTTTAGGTCGTAATCTTGTTATAACAAGATTTCGAGAAAATTTGTTCGTAAATTACACATGCATTATTGCTGATAAATAAATTATTTATTGCTTTGTACACAGACCTACCATTATTGAAATGTTGTTTTAGTCGATAAATTAATTGTATCACTATTAAATATTGTTTAATGAAGACAATTAACGTAAGAATTACGTTAATGATTAAAGCAAGAATTTCATTATTATTACGTCAGTAAATAAGTTCTTACGTAAAATATTAGGTAATTTCAATGAGATCTCAAATAATGAAGAGACTTGCATTATAATGGTAATAATAATAATTTCGGCTTTCAAAGGTCAGTCGGAATTAGTTGAAATCGATCGTTAAAATTGAATTATATTTTTAATAATTTACAAACTTTGGATGAAAACACAACTTTTTTTCTTGACAATTACTAATTCCAAAAAAAAAAAAAAAAAAAAAAAACAAAACAAAACAAAACTAAAAAAAAAGGTATGATTTCGAAGACTATTGTACTTCAGACGTAAGATTCTTCGATTTATACATCAAATAATATATTATATTTTATAATTATAATAATAAAGCAAATAGCGAAGCTTTCATAATTTAAACGTTTATATAAATAATTATTGTACAATCGTATACTACTCTTACACATTATTTAATACTTTTATGAAAATTATAACTCATACGTCAATAACAAATGAAAAGTAAGTAGAAATAAACTTTTATTCAATGTTTTACTATAAAATTAACATTTTAAACTTCACGTAAATAGTACAATATAGATTTTTATGAGCATTATAAAAAAAAATAAAAAAATAAAAAAAAAAAAAATTTATGTGTATACAAGTTAATTAAGCGAAAAACTTTCAATAAGTGCCCAAGGAGAATCATTTTTCTTTATTTTGAAAATAAGATATTTGGTCATTCATCTTTCTATACGTGAATTCAGCAGGCGGATTCTTATAATCAGCAAAGACCAGTTTGACAATCGATATTACATCAGCGAAGAAAAGAAAGATCGATGATAAACAATACACAATAAATTGTTAGAGAAGGAATAATTTTGTCCGTTTCGTATGCCTAACGATTAACCTAAATGTAAAAAAAAAATGCTATTAACTTGAGAAGCCAAACGGATGATCTGATCCTGTTGGAATGCCTCTATGCTATCGGAGTACTTTATAGTATAAAGAACCATCGCTTAATCTATGCTAGGAGTGGTAGTCTTAAAAGTTTATACTACTTCGTGAATATATAGTGATATATATATATATATATATATCCATCCTCTAATATTTAGAACGAATCTTGCCGTGAAAACCAATTTACAAAAATATATTCCCGATGACGTATTTTCGATAACTTTGCTAAACAAGCCGATTTCGATGCTTCGTTAAACAATGCGTCACTTTATGACG